CCCCCCACCCATCTCAAAAGCCAGCCCTCGTGGTGGGTGTGGGGGGGGGGGGGGGGGGGGGGAAGAAAAAAAACCCCAACCAAACCCAAAAATTTAGGGCTTAACCTCAATATATTTCAAAAGGTTGTTCTGGTATATACAACTGCTTTGTGTAAGGGCTGTGCCTGTCAGCAGCTGAGAGAAAAAAGCAAACAGCACATGGGGAAGAGAACAGGTGAAGTTTGCCTAGCACTAGAAACAGCTTTAATTACAAATTACAAGTACCACTTTGGTCAGACTGTAACAAAAATCTTACTGTAAATTCACAGCAGAGTGAAATCACCATGCAAAATACCTGACAGGTTAGACCTGGTATCACAGTTTATTACTTTGCTTCAGTAAATGACAATACTAATTTAAAGTAACCACTAGGGCAAAATTCCAAAGTCTTTAAAAAAAAAAAAGCCTAAATACATTTAAAAAACAGGTCAATTCAATTTCTCGCAGATAGTCTAGTGATACATGCGGGCCTACTATCATTCTCTTTCTTGACCCTTATTTCAATCTTTCCCCACTTTCACTCATGCATGAAAACTTTAATAAAAACGTTTGTGCTATGTAGTAAAGCAGCATCTGACAGCAACAGGTATAAATCAGACAGCTGAAGTCCAAGATGAACAATGCCTTCTATTTGCTCCTGTAATTACCAGATAAGAACACCTGGAAAGATAAAAACCTTCTCAGATAAGAAGACTGTTGGCAAACAGCAAGATGTTGGAATTATAAATATGTTAATATCATTAAGTTATTGTCATCTTTGTAAATGGAAATGCCTCAGATCAAATGGAGCTCTCTGAAGGCATCGATGAGCACAAGCATCATGAAGATTCAAACAGATTATTCCACAAAGTTCCTCACCAAAGACTCTTAGATAAAACTGCCAGGTGATAAAGTAACATTTTCACAAAATAATCTAACAGTTTGAAAACACGAATGAGCAAGCAGAAATAAACAGTAAGCTCCAAAGGTGGAAAGAACGTCACCAACATAGTGCAAAAGGAGCAGGAGCAGAATTTATTATTCAATAATTAAAAAATAACCCATAAAAAATTAACAAGTTTTGTTAACAAAAAACAGCTGATGAATACCTTGCTGATTTAATACCTTACTATCCTTCCCATTCCTCCTACTGCCTCACCTAGATCCACTTCATCAAAATTTAACCATGGTATTTCCCATCTTATTTTTAAGAACCCTGGAGTCCAGGCTATTCGTACCTCTTTGCAGTAACTTTTTATATTTATTTGCAGACTTAACGACATCTTGCCTTCCACTTTCTTCTCCCTCCTCCTGTTTTTTTTTTCCCGAGGGAAAAAAAAAAGCTCAACCGTGTCAGCTGGCCTTTGAGTAACCTGCTTCATCAGGTCAGCACCCAGCCGTCCTCCTGAAGAAACCACCGCTTTCTGTTGCGATCTTGCAGCTCGCTAACTGCCAAACCTTCAAGCTTATTCAACCAACAAGAGGAGAGCCCAGCGGGCAGCGCCTGCTTTTAACGCACAGGGCTGAATTCAGCGGCAGACTTCATCTAAATGAAGATTACTACCAAAAAAGCGACCTCTGTCTGCCCTGTGCTCTCTGGCAAGGACAGCCTCGTCGCCTGTTCCCACCATCATCCTTACAGTAGATCTAACCCCGCGCGGAGAGTTTGATCACCTTGTGGACATGGAAAAAGCCATTTCTTATTTATTATTTTTTTCCCCCGCTTCTGTTGGATCGGGTTAAGTGATCCAGCCCGAGGGGGCCGGTGGGGAGACGCGGCCAGCAGAGTGAAACCTCGAGTGGATCGAGACCAGGCTAAGCGGAGGGCGAGCCGTGTCCCCCCCGCCCCGAGGACCGAGGCCGAGGCAGGCCCGGCCGCTGCCGCC